CTCTTGACTTGAGAGTTCTAGACTTTTTCTCTGGCGTTATGTCAAGGAAAGATGCGGTAATACTTTGCTAAAATAGCCTGGAAGATCTTAAGTGGAACATTTGTAATGTCATTGAAGCGATTTTCCAGGAAATGTTACACAATTCATTCAACCATTTATTGATCCACAAATGCCTGGAACGGAATGGCTAACATATACATATAGGTACCTACAGCTTTTTGTATAGTTTTATGTAGTTGTTATTAACTTTTTATTAGGCAAACATAAGGTTGAAGCTTTGAAAATAGGTGTTTGCAAAAATACCAAGATTTCGAATTTGATTTTTTACGGCTAAAACTTCAAGTTTTAGGGACGATGTCTATTGGTACATGGATACCTTAAACATGAATCTATTTTTTGACGTTGCGATATACAGGGCGTTCCATTGAAAATAGTGAAGAATTTCGGTGTTCAAAAACGGATTTTTTTTTAACTCGCCCTGTATAAGTTTTAAAAAAAATTGAAATCTACTAGAAAAAACTTTAGACCAAGAGAAACCGAATGGCGCACTAGAAAAATGGAGTCAACTTAAGAGGTTCAAGCAGGTTTCAATGTTGATGTAAAAATTTTGTTGCTAGAATTGCAGAAAGATACGAAAAAACAAGAAGAAGGGACGTAAACACAAGATCTGGCACGAAAATGGATTTCACGCAGAAAAACTCTAAAAGCATCAAATAATTTACCATCTTGAGTTAGCGGATGAAGACCATGAAGCATTTCTACTGCTTCTTATTATACTTTTCTTTCAGCAGTGGTAATATCAAAACCACTTATGAACCCGAATTCGGACATTACCTCAGCACTTATCCTTATAGCATCATCCCGTTTATTCCTGTCTTTCTAACACAAAAGTTTGTGATTTCACAAACAGGGATGCTCTTCATAAACTTCCAAAAACATTATAATAATATGTTCCATTTTTGAAGTTCACTTGACATTTCCATTATTTTTTTGAAAACGACTAGTGAAAACGTTTGGATTTTTTTTGACAAACTTGCGCACATGGCAAACTGGCGCCAAAAAGTAGACCTGCATTCTACTTTACTGGCGCATAGATAAGTGGCACCAGTAAACTGGCGCCAGTTAATTTTCCGAGTTTCCACGCGCCAGAAAAATTGCGCCAGTCGACTAGCGCCAATAAACTATGCATGTGGAAACGCCGCTTTACGCATGCATCATAATCAACGATTATCGCAATGATGTTTATGATGCGCCTACCTTTTTAAAGGTTTGCTATAGAAACGTTTGATCTACCTTTATTACCTAGATATTAACCTGCCGTCTAAATTACTATTAATCGAAATGAATGAACACATTTAAAACATTTTTGAGATTATGATGCATTCGTAATAAAAAATAGCGTATGATATGCGTGTATAAGAGCATTTAAAGCCCTTGCGACTTACAAAACACTCCGCTGCGCGTCGTGTTTTGAAATATGTCGCGCGTGCTTTGAATGCCCTCTTATACACATATCATAATATACTATTATATCATTTGATATTTGGGGCCAGTAAACTGTTTGACGTGCTCTTTTTTTTGTTCTTTCAATACCTTGATGAGAATCATGCACTAAAACTAAATTTCTTGCGTTTTTTGGTATCACAATTTGATTTCCTTCCAAACCAAATTATTTTCGACACCTAATTCATCTTTATTGTTCCAGTAAGGCTTAAGTTCTTCTTTTAATAAATTTTTTACTTCTGGATAACCATATTTAATTTGTTCTATTAATTTTTGTTAATGTTCGTCACTTCTCGCTATTTGCTCTATTTGATCTAATATTGAAATGTGAATCCTGGACACTTTCTTCGGAATTATCAACCAAGCCAATTTGAAATCGAATAAATGAAACTATGTGCGTTTGTGCTTCTTCCGCCAATAAATCGTCTTCAACAGGAATCAGTACTGGGTTTCTTGAAAGGGCATCAGGAATTTGATGATCTTTTCCTTTTATCCATACACCTGTTAAATTATATCCAATTAATTTTTCTTTGAGACGTTGCAAGCGTGGATTTTCTATCATGTCCATTGTTTGATCATTAAGTATTGAAATCAATGGCATATGGTCTGTTACTACTTTAAAATTATCAAGTCCTAGTAAATAAGTTCTACATTTAGATACATCCCATACAATACTAAGTATCTCTAATTCAACCATTGCATATCTTGATTCAGTGTCATTTATAAATCTTGATCCGCACTGGATTATTTTCCAATTGTCATCATGTTTTGCTTGAGAATGTATCCTAAACCATGTAAACGCGAGGCATCTGTATGCAATTCTGTGGGTAATGACGCATCATAATGTGCCAACACTGGTGGCTCAATTAACGCTTTTCTTACATCATCGGATGCTTCATTATGAACTTGTGCCCACAACTCGGCCCACAAGTATTGGTTTTTCTTTTTCAGTAAATCCCTCAACGGAGTTGCTGCACTACTAATTTCCGATGAAAAGGATCCCAGTTGATTTACCAGTCCCATAAGTTATATCTGCCGGTTTAGGAAAATTCTGTATTGCTTCAACTTTTTTTGGGTCAGCTTTGATTCCCATTCTGCTGATTCTATAACCAACATAAGTCACTTCATGCTTAGCAAAAACAAATTTCTTTTCATTAAGGGTTATTCCAGCTGATTTGCAAAATTCTAGCAACTGTACAATTCGTTTATAATGCTGACTAAAATTTGTATCGTATACTAATATATCATCGACTACCTTTTCTATATTTTCCATATTGGATAAAGCTAAATATACTCTTCTACAAAATTCATCTCCGGAACTAACTAATCCGATTGGGGCTCGCAAAAATTGGTACCTTCCCCACGGTGTTAGAAAAGTTGTTAAATTTTGACTTCATTCGTCAAGTTCCATTTGCCAATATCCCGAAGTAGCATCTAAGGCGGAAAAGAAAATTGAATTGTTTTTTACGTGTGATACTGCTTCCCAAGGGGAGTTAAGCGGGTGAACAGGCCGCACAATGTATTTATTTATCTTTGTAAAGTCTACACATACTCCCATTTTTCCATTTGGTTTTTGAACCACCACTAATGGACTGACATATTCTGATACTCCATCTTCCACTAGCTTAATTATATTTTTTGTAACCATACTATCAAGTTCATCCTTCACTGCTTCTCTCCAGGCAAATGGTATTCTTCTAGGGCATGTTATAGCAGATGTACAGGTGAACCTTTCATAGGTTTTAATTCATTGACAGAATTAAATACATCTGCATATTTCATTAAAAGTTCTTTTTGTATTTGCTCCAATTCGACTTCTGTCGGATTTTCTATGCTATCATATATTCCAGAATATTTATTGACATTTTTAATGATTTTTGAAAAATCTGGATGTAAGATACCAAATTTTATCATTGATTCTCGGTTGATAAGAATTTCTTGCACGCCAGAACAAATGGACATCACCACCTCGGATTCTCAATTTTCGTAATGAATTTCACATTTTAGTGTTCCCAAAAATGTGAATTTTGAGCCATCAGCAGACTGTAGTATATCCATTTGATTTCCGCAATGCAGATTTGGGACATGATAATTTACGAGGAAAATTCTCTCCAGCAACGCAAACTTCGGCACCAGTATCAGGAATAGCTTCAAATTGTTCTTCGTAATTGCCATAAAAAACTTTAATTTTGATTGAACATCGCTGTTTTGCTTTCTGATCTATTGTTAATATATTCAAAAGACCAATTCTTTGATTATTACCAACTCTTATGTCATTTTCTCCATTATTTCTGATGGGTGCCTTTTTGGATAAGCTGCAATCCGTAAAATGTCCTTTTTTATTGTATTTTATACAAACAAATTTTTTGGCATGACAAGTATTTATGTCTTGATGCCATCTATTATTACATCTGTAAAATTTCTTTTTATTTGTAAATATTTTTTTATCTATTTTATTTATGATTCTAGATTTTCTAGATAGTTCTTCATCATAATCTCATCCTTCTGCTTCGCATATCTTTACAACTTCATCTATTGAAGCAGTGTCTGGTAGCAATCTATATTTCTTCTTACTTCAGGATCAGCAATTGTTTCTATTATATGATCTGTTAAACATCTTTGGTAACAATTTGCACATGGATCGGTGAGCTGAAAGAGTACAATTTTTTCTCTGTAAAATAACATAAAGGATTCCCCCTCTTCCTATTTCCTTGACATGAATTGGGCTCCTCTTATTTTCCAATTTTCCTTCTCAATAAATTTTCTAACATATTTTGCATGGTTTTTCATTGAAACGGTTTTCTAAAGTTTTTTTTAAATCCTGATTCGAAGCAATTGAATGTTTTATGGATTTTAGCTTATCTTCTAGAAAAGCTCCGATATCCGCCGTGTCTTCCTTTTTTCGACGAGGCATACTTATTCTTGATAGGTTTATAAAACTACCGACTGCGCCATGTAATAATCAGAGTTATAACAACTAATATATTTTATTATCATTTGACAACTAACCAGAGAGTACTGTGACCACAGAACAACTAACTTCGATCTAACATACACGTCATAAATCTATAGGTACTGATATTCCAGGTAGATATCACACCAACTAGCATATAAATCTCTAGTTGATACATATGAAATTATACAACAGGAAGCAATTTTGTAACAAAATCGATGTTGAAAACTAATTCTTGAGTGAATATTTCCCACAAGCCTCAAAATTAAAATTGACGAAATTTGAAAAGCAAATCACATTTCTTCAAAAAAGATAAGAACAATTCAAATGTGCAAAACTAAAAGTTCTATCCGTGGTCTTACAATCTAAAGCTTATCAGACCCTATTAAGGTCCGCCTTTCTTTTTTTTTAAAAAAAAAAGGTAAAAGCACAGCATCGTCGACGAACGGCAGGGGCAATCTGGAAGCGTCGCGCTCATCCAGACGACGCGTCCCGACGCAGATCCCAATCACCAAAACCACCCTGTGAAACGTTCAGTTTCCGAGCGCGAACAACCAACTCTGGATCCTGCTGAAGTAGGAATATGTTCGAGGAGGTACATAGCGCGTAATCAGTTTTGAGTAACATTAAAGATAATATTTGTGGAATTGAGGTTTCAGTGATTTATTTATTTTTTCTGATTGAATGTGGATTAGAGGGCAAAATTGTCAATCTTTGGGTTGGTTCGTTTTTTTTAAATTTTTTAAATTGGGTGTAAAAGTTGGCATTATTATCAGAATTGACAGAATTAGATCTGTTACTAAAAATGACCATATTTAATGCATAGTTGAATAAAACACCGCAAGAATGTGATCCTTTTTTCAATAAGCTTGAAACAAATCTTTGCCAATTATGACTTATTTTACAATACCAAAGTGCGTCATATAGAAATTATTCTTTCTTATATTCATTATAGGTTTACTAATGGAATAAAATAAGCTATAGGATATTTTATAACTAAACCAATTAAGGAATGTCTCTTGTATAATGGAATATTTTCTAAAAGGTCTTGTTTTTGAGTATCAATTTTTGAAAGGTTGTTGTGCTTCTCATGATTTTTAAGAATAGACATTAATGCTTGATTTGTATCATCTCCACAACTGCTGAAAGATTTCTGGCATTTCAAGCCTTTCAATAAATCAACTCGTCAAAGTTTACAGGAGAATATTCTTTAAGAACCGCTGTACTTCAAGTATATTATTTTTATAATACCTATATCAACCACTTTGTTAATTGTTAATTCAAATAAATTATTCTTAAATATTTTAACAAGTCGATAAATTGGTTTATTTTAACCCATCAAATACTAAGCTTTTAGTTTTTTTTTATGGGCTTAATTTAAGTTTTATCACGACTAGGTCATGAGCGCGCTTCGCGCGCTTTTTTTTTAAATCAAGTCCATCAAAATAATTATAAAATGGAAAATATTTATTAGGTGTTGTACAAAAAACAGTATAATTTTTGATTTAAATGTTACGAAGGCGTAGAAGGAACATTTATTAAATTTTTATTTGCTGGTAGTGATGCACAATTAATTCCGTGTTAACTAACTCGGAATTAATCCCCTCCTATTTAATTCCGTATTAACTAACTCGGAATCAATTTCCTCTTAGTTAATTTCGTGTTAAGTAACAGGGAATTAATCTGCTCTTATTTTATTTCGTGTTAGGTAACTGGGAATTAATCCCCTCTTATTTAATTCCGTCTTATTTAATTCTGAGTTGATTATCACGGAATTAAATAAGAGCAGATTAATTCCCTGTTACTTAACACGAAATTAACTAAGAGGAAATTGATTCCGAGTTAGTTAATACGGAATTAGATAGGAGGGGATTAATTCCGAGTTAGTTAACACGGAATTAAATAGGAGGGGAATAATTCCGAATTATACATTAAATGTTAGAGTGAGATAAGTTGTATAGATGTTATTTTAGTGAAGAAATTTCAAATGCGATGGATGGAGTTGGTGACTAATTATTTTTGTATGGTATATCATAATGATTTTAAATCAATCACATTTCTTGAATGTACGGTGTGCATATGTCTACTTATCTCATTCTGTTTTATGGAACTCGTAGGTATACATTTTTCGAAGTGGTTTAATTAAAACAGAATAATCATAACCATAATCAAGGTGTTATTATAAACCGAGTTATTAACTATTTATGTGCTGTGGTATAATACGAGATATCGAGTCTTAAATTTTTTTTTACATTTTCATGAAGTTCCTTTTTTTGTATTAGGCCAGTTATTGAAGTCTACTCGATCAACATTTTACTGCAAACAATCGAAAATTTTTTTTTTTTTAAAGATTTTAAATTCAATTGCTCAATTATTCAACTTACATTTTTTGTTTGTACCTACGTGGTAGACATAAATTTTAAATGTGATCAAAGTAGTTGGTGAATTATTACTTTTGCGGTACATCGTAATGACTTTAAATCGATCTTATTTTTTTAATATACGGTGTGCATATGTCCAGTGCATCTTATTCTGTTTTATGGAACTCATAAGAATCCAAAGTTTAAAGAGTGCTAAGTCTTCATGCCGTTCTTCGTTATTTTCAATCATTTATGTTTATCGTGTTCAGGTTTTTGTCTTGTGATCTTCAAATATCTTGTAAATAAGTTGTAAAGATCTTCTGAAATCACCTATGACTGCAAAATTTCAAAATTAAATTATCAAAAAAACAATTCTTTAAAAACATGGTTTTTGACAACACTATTGCTTCTTTGTTTCCCTGAATAAACTTTCATAGAGTCCCACGAACGAACTCTGAAAAGCGCCACATAAAGTTGTCCGTGACTAAATACATCCTTTCTGGAGATCAATTGACAATTACTATCCTATCAAATGTTTGTCCTTGAGATTTGTTAATCGTCATTAATTGCAAAGGCTAATTTTATTTTAAAATTGCCTTCGTTTGAACGTAAAGGGGTAGACGTTTTCGCAGTAGAGTGTTATTCGATTTATGAATACTATTTCTCCATGTTTATCTACAGTCAATATCTCACAGCGTAACAGATTAACCCCAAGTTCTAGAACTAAAGGCCTTGTACCATTGCAAAGGCCTGCACTGATGCTTAGATTTCTAATAAGCATACAATAGAATTCGTTTTCAATCGTAATTCATGGAGCGGGAATTCGGCGGATTAAGCGAATTTAAATATTTTGGAAGAATAGCATCATTTAGATCACTATTATCACAGTTCTCGACACTATCTATACAGAAGCCCGATCCTCGGGCCAGGGAGAAGAGCTCCCCGATAGAACGAATGTTTTGTCTTTGCCAACGTAATCGAAAAGTAAATGAGAATGATAAAGACGAAAAATGTGTTCTCTCGAGGAGCTCTACTCCCTGGCTCGAGGATCGGCCCGCTGGTGTAGAGTTTTTCGGTCTTGACGTCCAACAGTTCGACAACTTATTCGTTTATTTCTTCGACATCAACATTTCTTGCAGAAAGTATTGCAGATTTGGTCAAGTCCCTGAATCTTCCTTCTTTTAGTATTGTTCGTCGAATTTTTGGTATGAGGAGCGAGGGGGTGAAGTATATGGCAAAAACCAAGGGTGACGTTAGGTGACCATTGGCGTTCAAATGTAGGGTGCCACCAGCTCACATTCCTTTCGAGTATTAGATTAAAATCGACGGACTTTACTTCTCCATAGATGTTTTCAACAATATCCGAATTATCAATACATTTCTCCGACAATTTTAGATTGCCGTTAGAATCATTTAGTGTTCGTTATCGCATAAAAATGCCTCAATTTCAGCAATAAGTGCTTAATGTTGGCCTTTAAGGCGGCAACCGTTCGAGGTTTGTCAACATAGACTTTGGATTTTAGAATGCCTAGAGAAAAAAATCCAGTGACGTTAGGTCGGCCAATTGTGGATTCTGAAGGACGATCGTTGACATCATAAATTGCACGGAGTGCACGAAACGTTTTCCGAATAGAACATTGGTTTTGATAATGATAATAATTTTTAACAATTCCGACGCGTTGCTCAATCGTGTAGCGCTCCATAATAAAATGCAGAGACTAATTGAATACGACTGCCAAAGATAGCACCTGTGTGACTATCGAATTTTTCATGGGCTATTGTCAAACATCGAGCGTTACTATTGGAAAACCCTATACATACCTAGATTCTTCTATTGGAACTCGAAAAAATATTAAACCACTTCCTTGCTCTGAGAAACAACCATCTACAGAGAAATATCTAATAGCACAGCTAATAGGCATATTGTCAGAGAATTGTCACATAAATAAAAAATTCACAGTCCTTCACAAAGATGCAACCGAGGAGAACATTGAAAATGCCGAAGCAAACTTCAACGCTAATGCTTGTGATTATTGTGAGCTTTGAGATCCGCTAAAATTCAACCCTTTCCAGATTTTCCAGAATTTTTCCGACCCAATCCAGAAATTTTCATGCGTTTTCCAGACGTTTCCAGAAATTTCCAGACTTTATCCAGATTTTTCTAGACTTAGCTAGAGTTTATTCAGACTTGTCTAAATTTCTCCAGACCTTATCAAGCCTTTTCCAGAGGTTTCCAGAAATTTCCAGACTTTCCCACACTTTATCCAGACTTTTCTAGACTTAGCTGGATTTTTCAGACTTTATCCAGACTTGTCTAGATTTCTCCAGACCTAATAGAGCCTTTTCCAGACGTTTCCAGAAATTTTCTGGCTTTTCAAGACTGTATCCAAACTTATCCAGACTTTTCCAGATTTAGCTGGGCTTTATCCAGACTTGTCTAGATTTCTCCAGACCTTATCCAGCCCTTTCCTGACCTCTCCGGACTTCTTCCAAACACTTTCCCTACTTCAAATACACTTTTTCAGACTTTATCCAGACTTGTCTGAATTACTCCAGACCTTATCAAGCCTTTTCTAGACGTTACCAGAAATTTCCAGGCTTTTCCAGACTTTTCTAGACTTAGCTAGATTTTTCCAGACTTTATCCAGACTTGTCTAGATTTCTCCAGACCTAATAGAGCCGTTTCCAGACGTTTCCAGACATTTTCTGGCTTTTTTCCAGACTTTATCCAAACTTATCCAGACTTTTCCAGACTTAGCTAGACTTTATCCAGACTTATCCAGACTTGTCTGAATTTCTCCAGACCTTATTAAGCCTTTTCCAGACGTTTCCAGAAATTTCCAGGCTTTTCCAGATTTTATCCAGACTTTTCTAGACTTAGCTAGATTTTTCCAGACTTTATCCAGACTTGTCTAGATTTCTCCAGACCTAATAGAGCCTTTTCCAGACGTCTCCAGAAATTTTCTGGCTCTTTTCCAGACTTTATCCAAACTTATCCAGACTTTTCCAGGCTTAGCTAGACTTTATCCAGACTTATCCAGACTTGTCTTAGATTTCTCCAGACCTTATCCAGCCCTTTGACCTCTCCGGACTTCTTCCAAACACTTTCCCGACTTCAAATACACTTTTCCAGACCTTATCCAGACTTGTCTGAACTTCTTCAGACCTTATCCAGCCTTTTTCCGACGTTTCCAGAAATTTCCAGGCTTTTCCAGACTTTATCCAGACTTGGGTAGATTTTTCCAGACTTTATCCAGACTTGTCTAGATTTCTCCAGACCTAATAGAGCCTTTTCCAGACGTTTCCAGAAATTTTCTGGCTTTTCCAGACTTTATCCAAGCTTATCCAAACTTTTCCAGACTTGGCTAGACTTTATCCAGCCTTGTCCAGACTTTATCCAGACTTGTCTAGATTTCTCCAGACCTTATCCAGCCCTTTCCTGACCTCTCCGGACTTCTTCCAAACACTTACCCGACTTCAATTATGTATAAGTAATTGCCTATCTATGAGTCAGCACTTAATGTATGCAAAAGCGGTGACAACCTTGAACTAACTAACATAAATAACATATCGATTTTATATTCAGATTCACAGCCTCATTTGCATAATTAAAGCGGTGACAACCTTGAACTAACATCTCGATTTTATAGTCAGATTACGAGTCCAATGACAAACAATTTCCAATTTTCAGTTTACTGTTTTTATTGCATATTGAATGATTTTTATTTGGAATTTTAATAATTGAAAAGAACATCCCGTGAAATACTTTTCTGCTGTTTTCGAAATTAAAAGAAAGATCATTACAAATATTAATGGAGGTTCCGAATTGCTTCCTTGGAGCACCAATATAGTTTTTTTCTCAAAGAGAAACATTTTTGTTCTTAGTACACCGTCTTTTAACCTTGCCTGTCATGCTGTCATAAGTCTTTTTTTCTAAATTATTACTTATCAATAATTATGCCAAAATTGCTTTATGATAAAAAAAAAAAATCCGACGCCTCCTTTTGAAGGTACTGCCTAATGTTATATTTGCAGATTTTTCAAAATTTTTTTCGCCTAGATACACCTCTCATTATTATGTTTTGAAAGTTTAGCAATCAAAAATACAATCTTTCTGTATCATTTCTACACACAAAGCATTTTTGGAAAATATTCATACATTTTGATTTTAAAGTCATACAACAACTATATTTATAAAATATCCTATAAGGGCATACACGTGTTGCAATATTTGAATTAAAATTTAATAAACTTCGTTAACTTTTAGTTAACACGTTTCATCAGTTATCGTTTCCTAGCTTAATTAGGTCGAACGAGTGTTAATTAGTACTAACTAGTGTGTTATGTGAGGTATGGAAATTTCGCCGAGTCAATGGATTTTAATTATGTTTAGTACATTTATTATTGGTAAGTTTAATTTATTTAATCGTTATTATTTAATTTCATTAATTAGTTTTTGGAAATTCACCGACAAAATGTTGAAAGTAAAAGGAGAATGTTTCATTGAGAAATAAGAGATTGTTCGGAAAAATCCATAAATTTTGGCCAGGTTTCAGTTTTGATCAGCAGATTCTCTAAATCTGAGAGCCAACTGTTATCATATGAATATGAAGTTGAGGTTAAATCATGGCAGACTGGTATCCAGTTTTGTTGCGGATCCAATGCGTTTCGGTATTCTTACACTTCCTCAGTACGATGTTAATCTTCGCCTGATTAACGCAACACCGCAATGTTTGGGATAAGCTTTCAATTTTTTTCCAAAAAAAAAAAACATGCATTTTGTAATCATCATCCATGAATAATGCTCGAATCCGTATATTGTACACATTTTTTTTTTGTTCAGAAACGACACATAGCACCACGTAACCTAACACCAATCATCAAATCTTGATCTAAAGTTACTCTACCACATTTTCAGCAGGCCCTTCCTTTTATACTTAGACATTTATTTAGCCCTTGCTGAGTCAGACACATTGATATGAAGAATATCAACGTCTACTGTTTCATCAAACTCGGTAAGCACTAGGCAGCGGATTTCTGCTAAGTTCATCCACATGAGCTATCTTTGATCCTGCCCTATATTCAATAGTGAAATTAAATTCCTATGTAATAAGCCACCGTCGAACTATTCGTGGAATTAAATCACGCTTAGTCAACGTATTCCTAAGGGCATTACAATCAGTGACTACTTTTAAATCAATTCCTATCAGATACATACAAAATTTCTTCATACTACAAACAACAGCTAGAGTCTCAAGTGACTCAAGTTCGTATTAGCGATAGACCTTTTCTTGGTTCGTGGTAGAGCGACTGGTACAGGCTTCAGTTCTCCATTTATTTGGCGTTGTAGTTATATTCCACCAATAGCAAGCTTACTATCGTGAAACTCCGTAACAGCGTTTCTATCATAAACAGCCAGCATGGGACAAGTTTATCTTTAAGTTCTATAAATGCATTCTGCTGTTCGGTCTGCCAATTGAAAGGAGCGCATTTCTTTGTTAAATCGGTAAGAGGTTTCGCAATAAGCGTAAATCCTTTAATATACTTGCGAAAATAACTGGCGAGTCCTAGGAACTGTCGGATTGTAGGTACGTCTGTCGGTGTTGGAAAATCTCGTAGATATTCAATCCTTTTGGATTTAGGTTTAATTCCTTCATAGGAGATTTCATGTCCCAGATAACTTATTTGACTCAAGAGAAATCTATATTTATCAAAACATAATGTCATATTGGCTTCACGTAAGAGTTTTAGAACGGTTTCTGAATTCGTGAATCTATTTTTTTCGTCCGTCGAAGGTATCAAAATATCATCTAAGTACGACATAAGCTGTAGTATAACGTTAAAAGCCTGGAATTTTATGAATTGCCCTCTGAAAGACTTCAGGCGCATTTACGAAACCAAATGGCATAGTTAAATACTCGTAATGGCCATCGGGGATTATGAAAGCTATCTTTTCAATAAAATTCGAATCAACTGCTACTTGATGATATCCAGAAGCAAGATCTAAACTAGTCAAGTATCAAGCACCTTTGAGCCCATCCAGTAAATTATCAATGCGTGGCAGAGGATATTTAAGGTCCAATAAAATTCGACTAGCATATAAGGCAAAAAAGATTCCCTGATGATATTATTGTCAAGTAATTCTCGAACTATGTCTCTAACTTTTTCCTGCTCAGCGAAGGCTAAGCGATATGGTCGATGAGTAACAGGTGTTTTGTTTGATTTGTTATTCAATTCAATGCAAATTTCAGCACTATGAGTCTTCCCTAGTTCAGAAATACTTGTAACAAAACAGTCTCTGTAATTATTAAGTAAAGAAAGAAGTTGCATTTTTGTGCCTGTATCAATGTCAGTTTGTTACAAATAAAATGGATTTGTATACTTTCAGAAAAGATAACCTAGGGTCGTGACTTCAAAGAAAAATTAAGATAACGTGTAGCCCCTTTATGTGCAAATGAAACCACTCAAAATCCAACAAACAATTATTTTATTTTGTTTACAATATTATGTAGTCAATTTCAGCGTTAACAGCTTGGTTTCTCTTGGTAAATCTGATACCAAGTACCTGCTTTCCAATCCGGAGCTCTTCAATGGGTGTTGGGGTTTCACTTTCGTGAACTGGAGCTCTTCGTGTTGTTTCCTGTATCCAGGAAGAGGATAGATTGCTGGGGTGACGTCACTCCAGCTGATCCAGACTCCAAACAGTGATCTTTATGTAGAATAGGTACCTAGAAAAGAATAAGGCAGTATCAGGTTCACCAATATTTGGAATATTAAATCCCTGAATTCTGTCAAAAAAAAATGAGTGTCCTGCAAAGAAAATTTCAATAGAAATTTAATATAAAATGATTGTTGCACAGACACTCCCTTCCAACAGAATCAGGTATGAACAGTTATTGCAAGAAAAAAATTAATAATATTTTAATTAAAAAAAAATAGGTGAATAATTAAGAATAATGATAAGATAATGATAATAGTAGAATAAAATAATAACAAGATTTAATTATAATGATTATAATGCTCGTTATAATTGAGCTGCTTTCTTGATAACAGTTCTGGCAGGCAAAAATACGAGCAAAAATAAGGTAGGTAAAAAAAATAAGAAATGAAATCTCTGGATTCTCCCCTAAATAGACAAAATTTTCCTCTCGAACTATGGTAGCTACCACAGATACTAGATAAACCTAGGGTTGAAATTAATCAAATCCAGAATGTGTCAAAATTCTTGAGATGTTTTGAATAAAACTTTTTTACTGAATTTTTGACCTGTCTGGATTTCTATTAAAAAATTACACCCTTTAGTTGAGATAACAATTTAGGGAGTCGAACAGAAAATGTTTGTTCAGGCCTCTGCCTGGATTCAATAGAGTTAATGGGGATGGACTCACAAATTTGGTTCTTACCGACTCTATGGAGCAAATGGTCCAATATTCCCACACTAAAAATTGATTCTGTAAACCAGGGCAGCAGTACCTATTTAAAATTCAAAAATCTGTGTGGACTTACCTCTTATAACAAAACGTGGCACTAACCAATAAGCAATTCACACAAAATGGAAGCCAACAATTAGATAAAAAAAAAAAAACTTTAAATATAATATTTATATTTCAAAAACAGATAAGATAAGATTTAACAGGTAAAAACTTAATAAAGATATGATAATTTGAATATTGAAATATTTATAAGGGAGGATCCAGAAATTTCAAGCACAAAATTATTTTAAAAATAAAGAGGACTTGCCTGCCAGACTATTTTTCAAGGAAAGAGGGCGTTTTAGAAACCACAGCCAGCAGGAAAACGATCCCGTGTTTTTTATACTTACTACATTCCAACCAGCTTCAACCAATCAGACGAGTACACCCAAAAGACCATATTCACTTCAAAATGAAAACACAATGAAAGACCGCATGGAATAAAAGAAAATGGATAAAAATCCACTAAAATTATTTCAATTGTTTACAAATTATAATAATTTAAATTAAGGTTATGTCAAAAATAAAAAACCTTAGACAAGGAAAGAGAGGGGACTCGTAACACAGCAGGTGAAAATGAAGCAGTTTGTCACCAAAAAATGTCTGCTTTTTTCATAACATAACCTAGAAAGCATATTGTTTTTTGCCTGTTAAATGTAATTCCGTCGACTTTTTTTTCTTTGCGGGTTTTGCAGCCATACGCTAGCAATCCACCATGCTGAATATCACAAAAATGTTAGTCTGAAGTAAAATTCACATAGTGGCACCATGAAAAATTGTCGCCATTATTTGGTGACAAGCGGTCACAACCAGCTGCTAACAGGTAAAGGATATTACGCGTCCTCTCTCTTTCCTTGTCTAAGTAAAAAACTGTTAATTAATTAGATCATTAAGCCAAAAAATAATTATCTCAGAATCAGAAGTTAGAAAAGGACAGAAATATATCCATTTGCTAAAAGTGAGATAAATATAATTTCTTTCAATGAAAATACAAATGGCTGTCAAATGCGAATTAACCAAAAATCATGCTTTGAAAAATAAACCATCGAGCACTAGATGGCAGTACCGGCATGATATTTGCATTTTACAGACATGATGGATAGATGGCATTGGGAAATTTTGTGGATATTTTAGAATATTAGAAATTATTTTGAATTCTGAAATGGAAAAAATATAACTTTATAATGAAAATAAGAAGAGATGGAACATGTTACGTAAATGATAAATTTATCGTAACAAGTTCTGACAACATTTTTTAAATCTTCTAAATAAAAATATTTCATAGATTCTTGATTTATGGAATAAACATTTATTTCATCAAAATTACACAATAACCTTCGTGCTCTATCTTTTTCATAACAAACTGGATATTCTGATGTGTTTAAAATTGGCACTAAACCACTCGTCGACAGATCGGTGATACAACGAGGTATCACATTAAACTGATTAGGCCACGGCCTTTGTTGCAAATTAATAAATACCTCTTTGATATTTTCATATATAATATCACAAGAGAAAAAATTTTGTCGGCAAAATTTTCGGAAGGTATGAAAGTTTGTTGCTTGGCAATTTCACGAATGACATTCGTGAAATTGCCGAAAAGCAACAAACTTGAATAAAACCTTGAGAACAATTTTGCCTACATAATTTTTTCTCGAGTGGTATTCGTCATGACTATTTCACGTAAGATTTTGAAAAAAAATAGAATACAAAAATATGAATAAAAACTTCAAATTAAAAATATCAGTTTGACAATGTCAAAAAATGGTCGCTGAAATACCAAGTTGTTGGTATTGTCCAGGTAGCAATATTGTCAGGTGAACACCGAATTTATTGTCGAATGTAATACCACAAGAGGTTTCAGGATTACCGGATAATACTTTTACCTGTCACGAAACGCGTTACGCAGCAACACCACGACTCCGAAGGAGGAGT